AGATTCATGTGCACAGGCACCTGGACCATGTAGCCCAGATTTAGCCATGGCTTCTATGTGAGGGAGGTCCAGCACACCTGCACAGCCTTCTGTCAGCTGCAAGGGACACACAGCCACACGCTTGAACAGGCCCTCCCACTCTGAACAACCATTGCCATAGACAGCATGGGTCTATGCTAGATAGGTGACCACATTCAATGTGACAAGAGCTCTGACGCTGTTCCTGGGATTTCAGAGGGACCACAGCAGGCAGGGTAGGGTGGGGTGGGGGGTGTTGCATGTCTGCTGTCCTTCAAAGCAGTGCTCATTGTTACCAGTGACCTAGTTAACCAATAGAGCAGACAGAAAAATCATGAATGGATATTTAAAAAGCTTGGCACTTTTTGTAATTCAGCTTTCATTTCATCATGGTAGTTTCGGAAGTAGACAGTCGGGACCGGAAGCCAGGGTCTTGCCTTTCAGTGGTGGCGGCTGAGACCAGGGAAGGAGCAACCTGTCTGGGTCTATGGACCAACAGGGCAGGGCCAGAAGTAGCACCAGGACCCTAATTCCCAATGCAGGGTTCATTCTAGGGCACATGACCTCTTATCAAAATGTCAATGGTGTGTGGATGTCAGAAGTTACTAAGCACTTTTTCTCAGTTAACTAGTATGGTTTAACATTTAGAAATGACATAGGATGTGATGTAAGGAACATCTACACTAATAAAAGAGAAAAATGGTAATTGGTGTACAACGCTACCCTTTTCATTGGCTAATCAGGGCTATATGCAAATTAACTGCCAACTCAGATGGCAGTTAACTGACAACAAAGATGGTGGTTAATTTGCATATGTAGGCAACAATGCAGGGAGGCAAAAGGGAAAGCAGGAAGAAGCCCCTGCGACTGACAGTGATCAGAAACCCAGGGGGGAGCTAAGAGCTGGGGGGCCTTTGCCCTGCTCCCCAGCCATGATCAGAGAATCAGGCGCCTTTGCCGCCCTGGCCAGTGATAGCAGGAAGTAGGGGTGGAGCCAGCGATGGGAGCAGGGCACGGTCGAAGCTGGCAGTCCCGGGAGCTAGGGGTCCCTTGCCTGGGCCTAAAGCGGAGTCCCGATTGCAGGGCCGCTGCAGCTGTAAGTCCCAGCTGCCCGGGCCGGACGCCTTGGCCAGAGGCGTCCTGCAGGGGCAGGGGCGGAGCCCGCGCGATGGCGGCGCCCCCGGCTGCCACTGCGGGTCCCCGCTGCCCGGGCTGGACACCTTAGCCAGAGGCGTTAGGCCTGGGCAGGGGCAGAGCCTGCAACCGCAGGGAGCTGGGGGTGCCCTGCCCAGGCCTGACACCTCTGCCGGAGGCCTCAGGCCTGGGCAAGGGGCCGATCCGGTGATCCGCGATCGGATGGTGATGAGGGTCAACTCCC